TTAAGGAGAGAGGGAGAGAGAGAGAATTTTTAATATTTATTTTTTAGTTCTTGGCGGACACAACATCTTTGTTGGTATGTGGTGCTGAGGATCGAACCCGGGCCGCACGCATGCCAGGCGAGCGCGCTACCGCTTGAGCCCCATCCCCAGCCCCAATAATAGTTTTAATATATTAAAACTGCATAGTAATTTCAGTGAGGCATCTGGGGACTATGCTGTCCTTAGATGCTGAAGTTCTGGGTTCTTTAGTAAGCCATTCCCACCCTTAAGGTAATAACACCTATTTCACACAGTTATTTGGATATAATTTACATAACAGTGCCTATCCATAAAAAGTGCATAAAATAGTCTGCAAGGTGATGCTGGTCTGTAATCCCAGCTACTTAGGAGGCTGAAATGGGAGGATCCAGGATCATAAATTCAAATGGGGACACTTTCTCTGGCGAACTTTTCTTTCTATTTAGAGGTGGAAGCTTCTTCTCACCTACTCCTTCATTCTCAAGTCTTCATTCCATGAGGTTCCTTATGCCGCCACCCCTATGACCCTACCCACATGCTTTCTTGTAGACTGGGGTCACTGCTGTTTTGGTAATTTTTGTGATGTGAGCTAGCTTTTCATCAAAAGTTCCTCCTTTTATCATTAACCTGATAGAAATGGAAACATTAAAAATAACTTAAAAACAACTTGTTTGTTTACCTAGATATTGCTGGCTAATTTATCTTACGTATTTGGGAAGGTCAGGAAACATTCTGCCAAGCTTTCTTTTTTAATCCTTTTTAGGGGAGAGGGTAATATTTCATGATATACATAATGTAAGAGATGGAGGATCACAAGTTCAAGGCCAGCCTTGGAAACTTGGCAAGACCCTGTCTCAAAAAATAAAAAGGACTGGGGAGTAGCTCAGTGTTAACCCTGCTCTGGGTTCAGTCTCCACAAAATGTATGTGTTAGCAGGACTGATCTGCTGTGTAGTAAGACAGTATTGCACCACAAAGAACCTTGTTTTCCCTGAGTGTCCAGATTGGTATTTTTAAATTTATAAACATTACTAAAGAAAATAATCTATTTGTGGGAACAGAAATGTTCTTACTAAGACATGTTATATGAAGTACACTCATACTTTGGCCCAGTGGAGGTCACTTGTGATACATGATTAGATGTAATTTTTTCCCTGAACTTCCAGAATGCCAGCCTTCCCTAATTTTTAAATAGGGAAGGGCATTTACATTAGTAAATTAGTAGAGAACTAATGTAAATGCCCATTTCTGGCATTTTGAGCATGAGGTGAAGAACATTCTTTTTGAATCAAGTTTGATTGGACAAATTTACTATGAGTTTATTTCCTTACCAAAAAAATTTCAGGGTAGGCATTACTGGGTCGAGTGTTGTGCAGCATTCAGGAGCTCAGGGTTGTAGCCCCAATACAGCAAAAAGAAAAAGGTGATAATGTAAACAAGTAAGGTTATAAATCAGTCTCCTGTACAGTGAGTTATATATTAAACTGTGTTCTTCGAGCACACGAAGATGGTAGATTCTAAATGTTACACAGGAACTCAGCGACAAGGGTATTTATTCTGATCACCCAATACCAGCTGCATAGTAAGAGTTGTGCAGTATAATTGGCTGTATTCTTGTCCTCACTAAAAGGAGTTGCAGGAGGGGAAGAGGCTATTCTGTCTGAAGTCATGGTCCAGAACATATTTTCAGGTCACCCGGGCAGTGTGCAGGGTATGAGGGAAGGCCCACAGCCCTTATTTATATGCATGAAACTGGAAACTGTTGTGTTCCTAAAGTAAAACCACTACTGTCTTTTGTTTATGCGATTATTTCTCATGACTCCTTTGGAAGTACTTGATTTTGACTATTCTTTGAGAAGAAGACTTTTTTTGTGAAACTTGGAAACTTCCAAATTCGCTAGATTTGACCCTAAGTGTACTGAGTTTTATAGGCAGGGCAAACTGGATAACAGGCGAAGATTTTGAAGGGGAAACGTCCTCCTTTGTGTTGGCAAACCTTAAGGGTATGGGACTGTGAACACAGTAACGCAGAGGTGTCCTCACTGAGCGGATATTCTAGAAAGCTCTGCTTTGGTCTTTCCTTCAGGAATCTTGCCCTCATTCTGTGGTTGCTTTTTTCTTTCTGCAGGAGTGGGGATATTCAGCTTTGCTAGATATGGCAGCAATTTCTATAGCTCACATTATAAAGGCACAGTGAAGAAGCTCCATAAAAAATCTTCCAATGACTATGCCATTTTTGATAACTACTTTATTCCTGAAATCACTAGTGTTTTGCTGCTGCGATCCTGTAAGGTGAGTTTAAAAAATCCTGTAGCTGGGCTGGGGATGTGGCTCAAGCCGTAGCGTGCTCGCCTGGCATGTGTGCGGCCCGGGTTCGATCCTCTGCACCACATACAAAGATGTTGTGTTCACCAAGAACTAAAAAATAAATTAAAAAAAAATCCTGTAGCTTTTTTTTTTTTTAATAAGATCTTCATTTTCTAATCATATATCATCAGCCCTTAAAGTAACATAAGTGAGTTTGTATCTTTGTACACTTTTGGTGGATATTGCAATAAAAACAGTCTAACTGGATACAACTGAAAATTTATAATATCAGTGACATTTTTTGGTCCTGCTAGTACATGCAGCCTTTGGCTATATTGTCCTATTTATTGAATTCCTGAATCCCATGATGAGTAGGCACCCTACTCCTTCAGGCCGATCATCAGGTAGAACTGCCTCTCTGAGGACTTTGGGGAACCACTGTTCTCTGCCCTTTTAAGGAGAAAAGGCGTTTGTTTTCGGGGCTCTAGGCAACCCTCGACTGTAGTTCTGAGATAGATCCTGATGTCTATCTCCCCATCCCTGGTCTTTGGAAAGCTGGTCTCCTCATTTCCCTCCCTCCATAGCCAGACGTATGGTCGTCTTCTTCAGTTAAAGAGTTCTGCTTTCCCCAGGATTGTACTTTGAAGTACACCTTTTAGAACTATGTTTTCTTCATGCCCCCAACCAGGGATTAAACCCAGGAGTACTTAGCCACTGAGCCACATCCCCAGCCCTTTTTATTTTTTATTTTGAGACCAGGTCTCAATAAGTTGCTTAGGGCCTTGCTAAGTTGCTGGGGCTGGCTTTGAACTTGTGATCTTCCTACCTCTGACTCCTGAGTTGCTGGGATTACAGGCATCTACCACTGCGCCTAGCTAGAACTGTCTTCAAAATCTGTGCCAAGAGTCCCCTGCATAAAAGCATCACCGGATGTACTCACTAGCATGTAGATCCATCCCCATTCCTCCTAGACCTACTGAATCAGCATCTCAGATTCTGAACTGTAACAAATATCCACCTGGTCTAGGGCAAGGATTCTCAACCAGGAATGATTTTGCCACCAGAGGACATTTTAACAATGTCTAGAGACTTTTATTTTTAAGGTCCTGGGGATTGAATGTGGGGTGCTTTACCACTGTACTATATCCACCTTTAATTTTTTTTTTTTTTAATTTAATTTGAGGCACGGTTTAACTAAGTTGTTGAGGCTGGTTTCAAACTTGTGACTCTCCTGCTTCAGCTTCTCTAGTGACTGGGATTATAGATACGTACCCCTGTACCTATCTGGAGACATTTTTGATTGTCACAACTGGAGAGGGGTTCTGTCATCTGGTGGGTGGAGGCCAGGGATACTGCAAAACATCCTACAAGGCCCAGGGCAACTCCCCACGATGTGGAATTAACATGTTAATAGTATGGAAGTTGAGAAACTCTGGTCCAAGGGACCTAATTAAGGATAATAAGGAAGGCATTCAGATAATTAAGAGAAATGAAGGACTACTAAGGCTTGGAAGTTTTGTTGATAATGGTAAGGGAGTTGATTCCTTTAAATCTGTTTCTTGGAGAAGTAAGTAAAAGAAGTTATGAGCCATTGTTTGATAATGGTGGCTCTGTAAAACCACAACATGAATGTTTTGCAGACTTTATCCCATGAGATTGGACACATATTTGGACTGCGACACTGCCAGTGGCTCACATGCCTGATGCAGGGCTCCAACCACTTGGAGGAAGCTGACCGTCGTCCTCTAAACCTGTGTCCTATCTGTCTACGCAAGTTGCAGTGTGCCATTGGCTTCAATATTGCAGAAAGATACAAAGTAAGTGTGGCATGGTGGTGGAGGAGGGAAGTGGTTATCTGAGTAACAAACTGACATTTTCAATTAGCTCCTTCTCTAGAGCTGTAATTTATCAGAAGGAAATTAGTGTAAAGATAAGCAGGAAGCTGTGGTTTAAAAAAAAAAAACATGCAAAGAAATACCTTCCTTGAAAACTTCAGGTTGCCTATGCCTATCTCATACTTGCAGTTCTATGAGAAATGGTAAAAGAAGTTTCTCTTCTCATCTAATTAGGGCGAGAGAGCTTGACTGACTTGGCAGAACAAAATACATGTCAGTCTGTGTAGCAAAGCTCATTAAAAAAACTAACTAAATATATATAAACATATGAGCGTGATTTATCTTTCCAAATATGTGACAGAGGTTGTGATACTCATTAGGAGAAAAGGATGATTTTCTTTAAGAAGAAAGAGGGAAGGTACCAAATCTCAGTGTGCATGAGCGTGTATGCCCACATGTATATCAGTGTGCATTCTATGGTTACTCATGGGTAACTGCTCATTCAAGGGACTGCACTTAAGTGTCTGCATCCATGCCTTCACACATGTGTCTACCATGCTTCTGCATATACTTACGTGTGTACACATAAGCATTAAATTAAAGGCATAGCATAGTATACCTTATGGGATAATTAGCAAGTTGAGAAAAGAAAATTATTATCCTGCCACCCTAAAATAAGTAGTGTAAGAATTAGTATATTTCCTTTTCACCTTTTTTCTTATGCATACTTTTGAACACAATTTACAATTATATTTTGTATATTTTAATATGTTGTTTTATTCTGTTTTTTTAATACTTAATTTTTTAGTTGTAGCTGGACACAATACCTTTATTTTATATATTTTTATATGGTGCTGAGGATTGAACCCAGGGCCTCGCAAGTGCTAGGCCAGCATTCCACCACTGAGCCACAACCCCAGCCCCTCGATGTGTTGTTTTGTATTCATAACCATCTTTATTAAGTGCAACATCCTCATCCCAGGTCGAGATAACCTGACCTAGACTCAGTTTTCTTTTCTTGCCTAAAACAACGTTGCTAACCTGTGAGTCTTCTGTTTCCTAAGGCACTGGTGAGGTGGATTGATGATGTTAACACACCCAGAGCAACTCCGAAACCTAGTTGTGAAGATAATGTGCATTTACCGAAACCTGTAGAGGCCTTTCAGGATTGGAAAGAGTGGATAATGAAATGCCTTGCTGTTCTCCAAAAATGAGTACCTTCAGATAGGAGTAAATAAAGTAAATATTTGCACATTATGCTCTCATTTGGGTTGAAAGCTTCATTGGAATGAACTGTGTACTGACTGTGCTGGGTTAGAGTACTGGAATAGAACCTTCTTGAAGCACCTGAACTGAACTGAGGCTCATCTGGAATAAGAAAAACTCCACACCTCCTTCTCTTCTTGTTTACTAGCCCTGACTGTGGCAGTGAACACATTGTTTCCATTCTTCAAATATGTTTGTGTCTCAAAGAGAGTTAGGATTAGCAGTAACTAGTAAGTAAATAAATACTTTAAAAATAGCTATATATGTCCCAAGGAAAGAACCAATACAATTTTCCAGGGATGCTTTTGTTTTTAGAAGAGATGCTGTCCCTTGAGAGGAGGCCCAGCCAGACCGTTTTTGTGCGCGTTCATGGCCTCCAACTTTGCCGTCTGCATCCTTTTTCTGTGAGCCTTTCTCATCTCAGGCATGCCTTACATCTTCCTTCTTCTTGCTGTTTATCAGCTTATATCAGTTTTTAATAAAGTGTGACGTCCTCTCCAAAGTATTTGCACATGACAGTAGCAGTGATACCCATGAGAGAACCATGCAGTTTTCAGCTATAACTCATTAGTCATTTGTGAGGGGTGTGGCAAATAATGTGTAATGGCATTGGTTTGTGTGGGTTGCACTCATTCCATAGGCTTAGAACAGATTTTGAGTTTTTTGGGTTTTTTTCCTGATACTGGAGGTTGAACCTAGAGATGCTCTACCACTGAACTACATCCCCAGTCCTTTTACTATTTTTTTTAAAATATTTATTTAGTTAGTTAGTTCTCGGCGGACACAACATCTTTGTTGGTATGTGGTGCTGAGGATCGAACCCGGGCCGCATGCATGCCAGGCGAGCGCGCTACCGCTTGAGCCACATCCCCAGCCCCTCCTTTTACTATTTTATTTTGAGACACTTACTTACTAAATTGAGAGACTGGCTGTGAACTTGTGATCCCTCTGCCTTACTTTCCCAAGTCACTGGGGATTATAGGCATCGGCCACCAGGCCTGGCAGGTTTCAGGTTAATTTCTGTAATGTCTTTCACTTTTTGCATTGTAAAGTGTTAGAGATGGAGAGTGAGTACAATGGGGTTTCCTGTCAGGATGCTGAGAGTGGCCATGATGGCCTGTCAGGCTGTGACATCAACCAGTTCATGGTGGTGAACAAGTTGAAAGCCTCAGACTTGACAAACCACCTCTGCTTGGTCAATGTATCCCAGAAATCTAGAAACTACAGTGAGACATTTTATTGGATGCCAGTGAGCTGACAGCCATTTCCCACTTTCCTATCTTACCTTCAGGGTAAGACTTAAAAAAGGATATTTTTAATTTTTTTTTAAACTCTGCAACCTAAATTCTTTCATTGTGATTTAGAAGCATGTAAATTTTATGGATTCTGTTATGAATTTTCTTTCCTCAAATAATTTTTAAACCATGGATTGAACTCAGGAGCCCTTGACCACTGAGCCACATCCCTGCCCTATTTTGTATTTTGTTTAGAGACAAGGTGTCACAGTTGCTCAGTGCTTCCCTGATGCTGAGGCTGGCTTTGAACTCTCCCACCACTGGGATTACAGGTGTGTGCCACTGTGCCTGGCAAATAATATGCTTTTAATTACCACCCATTCATTTATATTTTCTTACAAGGTAAGCACAATTTTAGTCTGGTAGGCTAGCATTAATCACAACCCTAGAAGTTCTGATTTCCTTGGTCAATAAATTAGGGATTACAGTTAACTGGACAAGGTATAAAGTCCATTTGTGCCTGGTCTGCACATGAGTCTGGACAAGGTCGACTGAAACAAATCATTCCCTCTTGTTAAGAATCGAACTAAACAAGCAATCTTAATTGCTGTGTATAACTAATTGTGTACACTTCTGGACAGTTTCTTAAAAGTGAAGTTTAAAAATATGATTTGTCTACTGCAACTACATTTTAATGTTCTATATTAAATCATAGTTTCAAAAAATAATCTTCACTAAATGACCAGAAATCCAGGCAGGTTTTTGCTCTGTAAATGCTGAATGGACRTAGTATTGAACTACTAAAGATTTTCCACTGCCTAAAATACTACTTTAGAAATGTGAACTTGAAATGCTGTTCAGTTATAGGTCCTGTTCTGGACTTCCATGGAGTTAGCAGTGTATCTTCAATCGAGGGAGAGGATGAAATGGTGACATTTCAGTCCACACAAACTTCTACAGGGAGTGTTAAACAGAGGGACTGGGCAAGGCTCATCCATCTGTTCTTGTCCGTCTGCTTTTTTTAAGCATAAATTTCTCTGATAAGGTTCTTTTATTTATTTAGGTGTTGTGGATTGAACTCAGGGGGGCTTTATCACTAACCTACATTCCTCAGTCCTTTTTAAAAAATTTAAAGACAGGGTCTCGCCAAATTGTTGCAGCTGGCTTTGAACTTGCGATCCTTCTGCCCCCATCTCCCTGAGCCATTGGGATTACCAATTTGAGTCACTGACCCCCGCCCCATAATACTTTAAATTTCCAAGCCCTATGAGTTATAGAGGGCCTGGTTGTTTCTTCTTCAGACCCAAAGTGCTAAAATCCAAACAGGCAGCTCTGGGACTGCTATAGCTGGCCCTGCGCTCGCTCGGGCCCTCCCCAGCAGAGCAGGAAGCGCTTCGCTGTCCCGGCTGCGCTCTGGCGTGCAGGCGCGGGACCTGCAGCTGCCAGCAGCCGCGCCACCTGTTTCCGCCCGCAGGGACTTCCCCTAGCGGGATCCGAAGCGTGGAGTCCGCAGCCCGGCCTACCCCGGCGGGCGTCGGGGACCCAGGGTAACCTCCTCCGCCGCAGCCTCCGGTGCAGGCCTGTCTCAGGGGAGGCCCGCGCCACACCCACGCGTGCTGCACTCTGGGCTTGGCCTTGGAAAATCAGGATGGCGATGGCAGCTGAGCAGTGAGTGGAACCAACTSTCGGGTAGCTCATTTACAATGTGCTTCATTTAAAAGTTTCCATCTTCGTCACTTTCTAGATTCTGAGATCTAGAGCAGCACCGTCCAACAGAAATATCATACAAGCCACATGTGTAAGTTTAACTTCTCCAGTGGCCTCTTTGGCAACTGCAAAAAGAAGCAGGAGGGATTAATTTCAGTCACATAGTCAGCCAATGCATCCAAAATACAACATGTAATCATTATAAATATTAAGAGATGTTTTTATATTCGTTTTTCATATCAAGTCTTCGAAATCCGGTGTGTATTTCACACTTACAGCACTTCTCGGTTGGGATTGGGCACATTTCAAGTGCTCAGCCCGTGTGGCTTGTGAGTGCTGTATTGGACCAAGTAGCTCCAGATTAGTACAGTTTCTAGGCTGTCTGTAAAGATGTACCCATGAAATTGGGCCAGTAGGAGAGGAAGGCTCCTCTAAGGGTCAGGTAGTGTCCTCTGGTAGCACAGTGAGAGCGAACGGGTTTGGGCACCCAAGGGTCGCTGGGTGCAGCCTTGACTGGGTTTTCCYTCATGCTTTTATTTTCTGGCACAGATAGCTTCCTACCCTCCCCTCTGGTTGCCAAAGGCCTGGTATCTCCTTGAGATGAATTTTCATTTTTGGAAACCAGTTGTAAAATGTTCATAATAGGGAGACTGTTGAGTCCATTTGTGGATGCAGAAGCAAGGCCATGTTAGAGGTCAAGCAAACTGTGGATAGTTAAACCAATGACGAAAATGGGATCAGAGCCCACGCGTCCTGACTGTGAGTTCTGGGTTGTTTTCGCTGTGCAACGTGACCTCATGGAAGGAGAATACCACCAGCCCAAAACCAAACCAATTTTTTTTTTTTCAGGTTGTTTACAAAAGGGCTTATAAGATTAAACTTTCTTTCAACTTCTTTTCTATTCAAGTGGGGCCATCTGGGGTTGCTCAAAGTCAGAGAAATCAGTCCATGTACTCTTTGCCTTAGAGCCTCTGCTGGCGCATACACACACACACACACACACACACACACACACACACACAAGAAAAAAGGTACACTGTTTAGAAAAGCAGTTATCAGTAGTTGAGGCATTAAAGGATCATAAAAAAATGTCAATATGGACTGGGGATGTAAATCAGGGGTAGAGTACTTAGCTAGCATGCATGAGGCCCTGGGCTCTGTCCCCAGTAAGAATTTTTTAAAAAGTGTATTTCCAAATAGCATAGAGAATTTTGAATGTTTCCAACAAAAAAATGATAAATGGGATGATATGCCAATTACCCTGATCTTATCAGTAAACATTGGATACATGTAATGTCACATTGTACCCCATAAATATGTGTAATCACACATATGTGTAATTATATATGTCAAAAATAAAAATATATATATTCAAAATCTTCTGGAAAACAGGTGGTTAAAACAGAATCCACATGGACAATATGTTAAATCTCATAGCCCTCCATTTGCATATCTAACCTACTGTTAATTTCTGCTCTTGGATTCGTTTTTTCCCTCAAGCTGATACAGCCACATAGGACACTCCTGCTGGGTACCTTGAGACTTCTCCTCAGCTGCTGGACCAGTGGGCTCTGGGCATAGTGCTTCTGTCCTAATGTCCTCTACCTTTTTTGTAGCATACTGGGTCTCTTGAGCTTTATTTGTAAATAGATACCAGTTTTTTTTTCTCATGAGGGGAAAAAAGTCAATGAAAAATAATGAGCTCATTCATTCATTTACATATTTTTCATTCAATAATATTTATGGAACATCACCTGCTTCGTGTTAGGCCCTATTCAAAACCTTGAGGTTATATAACAATGAATAAAAATCTGCTGTCCTGCCAGCAGGTGGTGCATCCTGTAGTCCCTGCATCTTGGGAGGCTGAGGCAGAAGGATTGCAGAATTGAAGCCAGTTTCAGCAATTTAGCAAGACCCTAAGCAACTTAGCAAGACCCTTTCTCAAAATAAAAAATAAAACAGGTCAGGAATGTGGCTCAGTGGTTAAGTGTCCCTGGGTTCATTCCCCAGTACAAAAACAAAACAAAAAACAAAAATGAAAAACTGTGATCCTAATGTATTAGTGGAAGAAACAGATAATCAAGGAATAAACAACTCCTTTTATGTCAAAGAATAGAAACATACTATTTTGGATAGGATAATCAGGAATGCCTTTGTAG